ATGTTTTTCCTTTGATATTTTTTTTATTGGAACTTGGTGGGTTTTAATAATTTTGATGAAAATATTCTTCTTGTTCCGAATAAAGTGATTGGCTTCTTTTGAACGATTGGCATTTTTTCGTTTAAAAAATTGAGAACTCTCAGTGCGATCTTTTTGGGTGTTTGTTCGATCTTTTTCAATTTAATTATTGTTGATTTGCGTTTTTAGGTAGTTGTTGATTATAATTATGTTCTTGTTAACGTGTTTGCGTAGTTAAGAGAGGTCGTACTATTGAGTGACTTCTTTTATTTTTTCAAAAAAAAATCCTAGTTGTGGCTAGGAAAACCAAATCTACTTGTATATTTTGGTTTATTTAGCGGACGTTTCTTGGTTTTTGGCCTATATGATTGATAACTCATTTGTAAATATTTAGGAAAAACTGTTGGCTTAGCTGTTGATAGCAGAGTTTTATGTGGAAACGGGTATTGATTTCATTATGTGGTGTCCTTACCGTCGGACGAATCGGTGATACACTTTGTTGTGCTGCTGGCTTTTTCAACAATTTCTTCTTAAGTGAAATGTGATGATGTTTGAATGTTTCGGCGATTCAACGTTGTAGTTCGGATAAAGTTTTCTTGTGTATTCTTGAATGATGGATTGCAGGTGTTATCCATTGTCCTATCGTGAAATTTTGTGTTGTAGTTTAAAGGAAAAGTATCTGTATTAGTGGAGTTACACGTGTATGGTTTTTATCTACTGAAATTGTTCGAATTGCTGAGCTGGAAACACCATTTGTTGTTTTGAAAAATATCTCGTGATAACTCTCTGGATCCGGTACATAATCTGTTTCATTTGCTAAGATTGTGTCTTTGCCACAGTACGTGCGAAATTGTTTTCTAGACCGTTCTATTAACTCCAGATTGTGTTGAAAACAATCTGATATTAACCAAGCTTTTATTTTTTGTAAATTACTTTATACTCTCTGTGAGACGTCTGTGTCATATAAGTTTTTGCAAATTGAGTTTACGAATCGTGAAAAGAGAATTTTTTTCTGTTCTTACTGCTGTATGACGTGATGTCTCTGATGAAGATACATAGAACGTTTTGTCTGTATCTAACAGTGATATATCGCTTTAGATAAATGAAAAAACATTGCTGGTGAATATTGCATTTACTTGTTGTGAATTTTGGCGTTGAATATTTTTAATAATTCGTAGAAAAGTTTGTAAAAAAGTTAGTTCTTTGTCATCTGTATGTAATCGATATGGTGTTTTTTAATGTTTGAATCTGGTGGTAATGTTTCAATGGTAAATATATCATATAATGTGATGTACTGTGAATACTGTGATGGTTAATACTGTGATTTTATATTACAGATGCATGCTAAAAGGAATCTGGTTTCTGTCTTTTGATTTGAAATTAGGGAACTTCTTGTTGGCATGAGCTGTTGTTGCCTTTTCAAAAAAAATTCGTAATTAGGTTGTAGCAAAATTGTTTTTGTACTTTTGATGCATCACTAGTGTGATCAATGAAAAATGAGAGGAGTGAATCACTATTGAAGTTATCGGTATTTTGGATCAATTTTTATGCACTTTGACTGTTAGTGTGTATTTTTCATTGTGAACTGATTCTAAGTTGTTTCCATTTATACAATCTTACTGGTTTCTTGTTATGCGTTTTTTTTCTTCTTCGATAAACTTAATTAGACAATGCCGTTGTCTGTTGTAGCTTCTGATTCAGAAAAATATCGTTGCTCGTTGATTTGTTTGATTTTATGCGTCGTATTCAGAAACTGCGTTTCGTTTTCTGGAAAATCGGAATTTTAAAATTCTTTTTTGCTTGCTTTTTGACCTCTGATATATCCTTTCTTTTATTTATGCGGTATTATAACAAGGTCGTATCAAGTATCTTGAAAATAACAATGGTGCTAAACAATAGTTTGATTGCTTACCAATTTATCTCTTGACATTAGTGTTAGAATGAGTGATGAAAAATCCTGATGATAATTTATTTCCTAAACTGTTTGTTCTTACTCTTTCTGTGAGGTTATCCTAACCATTGGGTAGCATTGTCGTGGTAAGGCGAATTGGTGAGGGATGATATCAATTCAAACGAATGATTTATTACTGGGCTCAAATGAATGTTCTCTACATTGCAGTTAACTTAATCTTTCTTAAAAAGGGGATCGAATTGAGATCGAGGGTTGAAGAATAGTAAATCAATCTACTAAGTTCAGGTATAATTACAACACAAGAAGATCGTTAGATAGTATTTTAGTACCTACTAGTTCTAAGAACTGTTCTAGGGCTGGGTCACTTTAAGAAGTGGGATTCAAGTAAATGATGAGTGACCGAAGATCTTCACCTGAGTCTTGTTTTAACGGAGAGTTTTTGAAGAAAAATTTCAGCCAGTCCTGGGTCGTTTGTAGAGGTTCGACAATGAATCGACGTTTAAGATTGCTCGACTCTTTTTACTAGGAGGGCTTGAACTTTTGAATTTTCTTCAAGGAAAGCCTTATTGTCTCATTTTCGGCCGGATGGATTCGTTCAACTTTTTAGTCTAAAACCAATCCTTATCTTACTCTTATATTTCCTAGTCTCAATATATCTAGTATATACTAGTATTCTTCAAGGTTATATCGAAAAGAGGAAGAGCAACTGCTTGCTTAGTTATTTTTATGTTCTCTGGCTGAAACTATAAATAAATTCAGCTTTACAAATTATCAGAAATTTTTGTAACGAACCATGATTGGTTAGTTTTACAAAATTTAGAGATTATTATCGAGAAAAATAGCTGGATATAAAACGTTTGTTTTAAACTGATTTCAGAACAGCTCGAGGGTTTATGGAAATTAATATTACATATGCGCTGTCGAAAGAGCCAATGTACATTTAGTGCTACAGGGGTGCCTTTTACTTCCCTAATAACCATGTAAAACATCAAATCAAATAACACCGGAAATTTAATTTTGGAAAACCAACATTGAAAATTTTCTGAAGGCATCTCCGAAGCCGATAGGTACTCAATTTAAGCAGGAAGGGTGCTCCGAAGAAAGGAGATTTATTGTTCCTAACCTGCTTCCAAAATTATCTGGAAAAACGTTTTTCAAATTTCACTTGTGCCACAGGAAGCTTGGTTGCAAAATAGGGCAACAGAGTAAGCAGGGGAAATCTTTTTGCTACCGATTTCACATATTCATACACGAATCATGATATATTAAAAACGTTTTCATCCTAAATAAATTGTGTTTTGAAAGATTCAAGCAAGTCGACAGTGTATCTTTGAGCAAAAAAGGTATCTGAGCTGCTACAAAGAAGCTAAAAAAAACAAATCTTTTGCTTGCATGTTTAAAACAGGCGCGTACATGAGCTATTCACAACTTGCACTGCATAAGTTGTTTATTGAAAAAAAATGGTTTGTTTTAAAATATAGGAAGTTTGAAAAAATCAGAAGTTCGTTTTAACAAATGGTTTCGAAACATTTTCACTGATACATTTATAGAATAAGTAAGCAATTCAAAACTAAAATCACAAAACTTTTTTTGAAAAAGCGATGTTTAAATTTAATCCTCTAATTCGAAAGTTTGTTCACCCGTTAGGATACTTTGTCAGCTAAATAGGCCCTTCATCAAGAAACTTGGTTCTTTTTAATTGCATATTTGATACCACAGAGACAAACAACGAATGAGTCGAAAAAAAAACAGATCTTCAGCAAACTTGAAACTTGGAAAAACTGAAAGCGGACCATTTTTAGCATGAACATAGAAAATGGAATCTCTTAGCATACCAACGAAAAACAACTGACACATAATTGATCGACAGACTTGAAGAGAAGCCTAGTTTTGGGTCAAATTTTCCTGACTGTAACAAATATTTCAGTTTGTCAATTAGACTATGATTTCCAAAAAAACTGTCTAAACACTCGGTAAAAACTGATTCACGCACACAATAAAACTGTTGCCGAAGTTAAGCAAAGCGGAGCAAGTTGCCGTTACCTACTACTATTGCGTTTGAAGCAAGCGTTCTACATTTCTAATTGCTTTGAATCTGCTTTAAAGACGAATTGCTTAGAAACCGGTCTGCTAGAAAACCTAGCACCTGATTAACCTTTGCTAAAAAAATTTCTGAACAAGAGACAAAATGCCAAATTTCAATCAGCTTGAGCAAAAAAATCTATAAAATGAAAATCAATTTTTTTGGTTTTTGCTTTAATTTTCTCGCTTTGATCATTTTGCAAAATCTCCGGCTGATACGTTGACAGATAAAGTTATTATCACGATAAGGTAAAAATTGAAACAGTTTATCGAAACGCTTAAATTTTCAATGCTAAAATGTTTTATTTTAAATTAATTTTATTCCTTCTATAAATGGTCAATTTAGAATGAGTCGAAAACAAGGAACAAGAGGATGAACAAGTTTCCCCTATTGACTAATTCAGCCGAGCTATAAAAAATCAGGGCAAATTTTATTTCAAGCTCAGTATTTCTATTTCTGTTTATTTTTTCACATTTTTATCATTTGCATCTTCGGCTGGTGCTTAGTCAGACGAAATTATGCAGATATGGAAAAGTTTGAGATTTTTTTGTAACTAAAATATTTAAAAGTAAATATTATTCTCGAGGTTGTTCGCTCGGCTAAATAAGTCTATCCGAATTGGCTACTTGCCTCTAAATGAGTGTTTTCAGTTGAGCAATTTTGCAAGGAACGAAATATCTAGAAAAATATATATATATATATATATCTCGAGTTGACATCTTTCGCCTCATTTGTTTCTTTTTTGTATCGCAGTAAGAAAGTAGTATTAGATACAGCCGATGACTTCACAAATTTAGTAAAAGCACCCTTAATGGTAGGCCTTGGTTCAAGTTTTAGATAGGCATTAGCCAAGTCACCTTAGCTATCAATCAATTTTAGTGGTTGGAATAGCAAATCTTACTTTTGCTTTTTTGAAGTTAGATAATTAACGCTCGGCTTGACTAACACTAAGTAACTAAAGAATTTCGTTGAGAAAAACAAACAAAACTACGTAGTATATAAATTCATTGATCAATTACATTTTCTTCACTTATTTACAATGGTTTTATTTTTTAACTCATCGGAAGTTTCCAGTTCACAAGTTCTTGGCATTCTTGAAGCCTCTTCACTGGGCAGATTAAAAAATCAGTATTAATCGAAAATTCTCAATTTCTAGAGTGAACGGAGAAACAGTTCAAGCACAGGGCGAGGACAAACTACTATTGGTTTGCGAAATCAGAAAACGTGATTTATGGTGCAGGAAATATAAAATTAAAGATTGTTCGAATAGGTAAGGGATACAATTAAACTACAGAGATGAAATTAAGCGCACACTGTCCCCAAAATTGGGGGAATTTTGGGGACAAAATGAATATTCATAATCGAACCTGTACTCAAAAAGAATGATCGAACCAAGAATGGTTGAATGAGTAAACACAATTAAAGAGTGCATCACGACAAACAGTATATATATAGGATGGCAACAATCAAAGCGATAAGATTAATCATTGATATGTAAGGAAATCACACCGAGGCTCAGTCCATACCTGATTACTTTTGGTAAAATGATCAATGGTCAAACAATCAGAATCATTTATTTTAATGTACGTCTTCACATTTTCCATAACATCCAGTACAGCCAAGCTACTCAGGAAATAAAACAAACAGTAAATCTTCAGTGGTGACCCATAAAAACTCAAATCGTGTATAAACCCAATCGATATGTATTTTACAGTTTGATTATTTTTTACGAGTTCAAGCTGCCGCAAATTTGGCAAATTGGGCTTAAATCCAGTCCTTAATACAGATAGTTCTTAGTTTTGGAACACATTGAATGGCTGCTGCTGAGCAATTGGCGAGTTCTGGAACTGACTCGCAGGATGATTTTGCGTTGACTGAGATCCAAAGAAGTTCATATCGATCTGGCCGCTTGAATTGTTGTTTGACGCCTTCAGTGAGTTCAAACTGGGACCTTGGGTTTTATTTGATTTCGAGGGACTCATATTTAAACTTGACAGATCAATGTCGACTTTCGTTCCCGACCAGGTTGAGCCAATGTTTGATGTTTGACCCCTTTGTTGGACGGCTGGACTGCTTTGAGCATTTTGATTTTGCGTGCCATTACTAGTCTGGGCTTGTTGGTTTGTCTGCTGGGGCATCAAGGGCTGAGCATTTAAAGGTGCTGGTTGCTGAAACGGAATTGGCTGAGAAGGCATGTCAAAATTCGAACTTGAAGCCGGTGGGGCCGAAAGCTGCGGTGTTTGTGCGCTTGAAAACAAGTTGACAGGTTGTATTGTTTGACTGGGCATTACATTTTGATTCATAGCTGCCCGTGGAGCATTAACCGACTGAAAGGGATCAAATGGAGGTTCGTTTTGCATTATCGGTGCCGAAGCCGGTGCGCTTAAAACTTGCACATTTGGACTTGGGGCATTCTGAACGATGGGAGCTGTAGCAAACAGAGAAAATTCCTCGCTATTTGCTTTCTCCGTGGGTTCTGTACTATTAGCTGCTTGAAATTCTGCAAAATTCAGCTGTGAGTTTGGACTTTGAGAGGTATTAACATGGGAAAATGGTGCGTTCTCATTTCCGAATGCATTGAACTCAATTAAACTTTGACTACTGACTAGGGGCGGTCTATTTATACTGCTAGTGGATGTTGGTGCATCAATGAAGCCTCCGAACTCATCAGCCTCTGTTTTCTGCGATGTCAAGTTGCCAAAATCGGACTTAGGTTGTGATGAGTCAAGACCAATAAGATCGGCTTCTTTTTTCTTTGACGAAGCGATTGTGCTTTTAGGCAAAGTAAGACGAGTGGTTCCGTTACTTCCAAGAGCAGACGACGACCCGTTCGAATAGTTGGGTTTCTTTTCAGTTTCGCGTTCATCTGGTAAAGGCGAAGGGCTATTATCTCTAAATCCACCACTTCTGTAGTTAGATTCCTTCTTGAAGCCCGGAGAAGGATCTCGTTCGCGGAAAGAGCTAATCGAAAAATCCCTTCCCTCACTTTCGCTCGAAATAGAATTAAATTTATCCTTTGTTTTTCGAGTTTTACGTCGCTCATCTCGAAGTCTGTCGTCGTCGTGAGCAAATTCAATTAATTCCTTCACCTTCTGTCGAACATTCACACCTTGGTCTTTCCCCATTTCGTCGATGAAAGAATAATTCTTTAGTCCTTTCAAATCATACGAATGTTCTCTTGTACTTGTTACAACGCGTTCCGAGCCATTTCTCAAGAGGTAGCTCAGCAGAAGCAGGCTTTTGTAAACGCGTCTCCAACTTTTATGAGGATCAACGAGCAAGCGTTTCCAGAGCATCTGCATTACTTCCTGATAAAACTCATATGTGTACGTTAGTTTTGAGAGCTCTTTCATTTGTGGCCCTGTAGGTCCCCATGGATCCTCATTTGTAGCTTCCCGCACAAGTGCTTCAGTTTCAGTATAGTTGTACACAATATTCGTAACTCGGTCTTGTATTTCACGAATTTTCCACATTTCTCTCAAACTACTGAAAGGCAGATCTAGCATCAAAACTTATGAAGCTTCACAGCTTTTATTGCTGCAGAAAATATTCGTTCCAACCATTGAAAATGGGGAGGAACTTTGTATTCGGGTGCGTTTTAGTTTTTTTTGCACCTCCAACAAACCGGTTTAAAATTTTTGATTTTTCGTCTCATCTCGAGCGAGTAACGTGACCGAGTAACGTTTGTTATATATGGAAATTAGAAATTTAGGCTACAAAAATTAGTTTTGGAAACTTCATTAATTTCTTTTCTGGCAAAAAAACTTACAAACAAAAGACAATTGGATTCGTTTATGCCTAATTCAATAAATTTTTACGCGGTAGTATAGCTGTATCATCACACAACGTACAAAATAGACACTACCTCGAAGCAAAATTTTTCCTCCTGAAAATGTGGTCGGAACATTGTGCTGCTTCAGGGTATTCGTTTTTCTTCATTTTTGATTTAGCACGCAAAATCAGGAACCACAAAAAAAAACTCCAATGGGTCGAATAATATATCATATTGCAGCCCTTTCAGTCGTGATATGAAAGACTTTAAAAAAACTGCGAAAAAAAATCTCCCAGTTGAGAGAAACTGGTTTGAATTTTTTATTTTTGGTCTAATTTCGAGCAAATAAAGGCCAGCGAGAAAGCTTAAAATAGCTTATTTATGTTTAATTTAAGCCGCAAAAACTTAGTTTTAGTCGAATAAAGTTATTTCTTGAAATTTTTCGAACGAAATGGGAATCATATTTTTCGAGAACTAAAGAACAATTCTCCAACAAAAAAGGGGAAAAATTTTGATTTTTTCTTTTTTTAGAACTTTGTATGTTTTTTCAATCACTTTTCTACAAAAACTGTTTTGCAATGTGACGTCCTTGCCTGACGTCATACTTTGATATTAGCCATTGTGGTAAAAAAAAAAGATGAATTTCTTGAGCTCAAACTGATAATTACTTAGCTACGTGAACATTGATCACTAATTCTACCAAACATAGAAAGATTTAACCTAGCTGTAAAACAACTGATCAAATTAGTGAAAGAATTAATTCATCCAACCAGGCTCTGACTTGCTCCGATCGATAGATAGATTCTAGTGGAATAGGTCTGACCCAAGCATCCCTCAGTGAAAGATATGTCTAATGGCTCAAAACATATCAAAACAAAATTGAACACTGATAGCCAGTAGCGTAAGTATCAGACAGAAAAGACTATATATGTGTAACAGTCGCCTACTTCGCTCACATATGAGGCTTAAGAAAAATAGGCCCTATAACCATTATCTTAGGAATAAAACATCAATGTTGTGTAAAGCTTTTCAATGAAATAATCACCATCGTCAGACACTGAAATAAAAGCTTGTATAAAAATGTAAAATGTACATAGTGTAACATTCGCCCGGAAGATACATATCGACGGATAACAAAACTAAGTCTTAAGACGACTGGCTAGCGTCTAAACAGAGCTTTGCATGTTTTTCACCGTCTCTACCAAGCCAGTACTTTTCGGTGGTCTTTCTTACATCAGGCTGACAAAAACGTTACTGTTCTCCGGCTTCGACCAGAACGCTCAAATTAACTAGATTACATGCAAAAATAGTGAGCTCATGGCTGGGTCTCAGTATCCCCAGACCACGAGGTCACTCCTAAAAACAGGGCTACTACTTATTATATTACTATTGTTTTTGTTCAGTAGATAAAAATCATCATCTCCATCGAAGATGGATCAACCCTTTCCCCCCTACTTCTAGCTCCTCATTCTTGTCAAAACGAATTAAGATCTTAATTAAATTCAAGTCAGGACATGACGGATGCTAAAATTCAATATAAGTTCATAAAAGTCCACGTCCCGAGACCCTTCCGGATTCTTGAATCCGGTGAATCAAGCTTCTTAATATCCAGTTCACAATAACTCGGAAGGCTGGGTTTTACCCTTCACCGTTGCTCGCAACGGCCTTGCAACTATTGTAACAGCACAATAGTTGCAACTCGGAACGTCCTCTGCTGTTCGGTAGTTCGTTGATTTCTAGTCTCGATTTCGTACTGTTCGTAATCGCAGATAAAAGTTGTTCTGTTTCTTTCTGCTATTTTAGCCAAAATGGCCGTTTTAACATTTCTCAGAAATGTTACGTCATCACTTCGAAAATTTAAAATTTAGAATTCCAGAATCTTCTAGCCTTCACCGTTTGGCCAATCATTCAAATAACGTCCTTATCCGTTCTAAATCGCCAATCCGGAAGGTTCACTGCTAAAATCCTGAATTCTGCAGAGACTGCATTTTGGCCATTCTGGTCGAATGTCACATACTCCCCGGACAGTCCGGTCAATGTCCTCATTGAATCGCGCAATGTTCTAAATGGTTACAGTGTCATCGAACAGAATTTACAAAATGCACGAAATTACTTTTACCTACGTCACATCGACTCACTGCAGAATATAAATGGCATCATACTACATCACTATAGCCTTCAAATTCTTTCATTAATCTGCACATTGAGGATATGACTTAAGATAAAACATATTTTCTGACTTCCAGTGTCAATATCCCGATTGAAACTTTTTCTCCTAGATTTAAAAGGTGTTGGCTTGCAGGAAAGTCCTGCCAACCAACAAGCTAAAATTATCCTACTATGCTCCTTCCCTTCGGAAATCTTGCTTGTTTATTGTCCTGAATATTAAAACCAAGAGACCTCGTGGTTAGAAAGAACAATGCAACAACCTCCCTCCTCAAGAAGTTACTCAAGTTTTTCATGTCACCACAAAGTTATCAGTCTTCCTAAGTGATTAAAAACAATCATGCAGGCTGGAATATTTAAATATACTCTCCCCTCAAGCCTTTCTAAATAAATAATAAGTGAGTGTCTCTAAAGCCACTTCAACTAAAACCAAAATGCAAATTTATAAATGCAACAATTTCCAAACTCAACTTAAATGTTTCAGTTTTCAATTACAACTTGGTTGCTTGGTTTCTCACTTGAGTTTTTCACACACATAAAACAATTTTGAGTTTTAACTTTTCTTCATTATCCCTTTGTTCTCTTCTTTTTTCGTCGTTTAGAAGTTCTAAAACTTCTAAATTCTTCTAATTTTCTTTCTTGTTGCCTCTTGTTTTCTCGACCATTCATCAATGCTCCATTTCCTCCTCCTGTGACGCTGACTCTGCACTCTCGGTCTCCGTGTCTTGTAGCACGTCATTGACTATCCTGACGCTGTTGGAAGCCGTCCTCCAACACTTCTGCTCTTCCACCCTCTGTTTACAGCAAGGTAGGGGATCCACGTTTGATTCTCTGTTTCTACAGAAGCTGTTGTGGAGACACAACGTCACGTTTCTCTCCAAATCTTCTTTCAGCATCTCTGCCTTCTCATTTCCACTACGCTCGCTCGTCCTGGAAATTCTTTTCACAGCGGTGGTCACTGCATTCCGATGGGTCACGAAAGCTCGCTTGAAAGCTCCTGCCCCAATGTCCAGCTGATATTCACTGTACACTCTGCCATGTTTCGACATATGCTTTTTCGCATACTCATACAACCATGCAGTCATGTTAGCTCTGAACCATGGCATCAATCGTTTTCTTGCCCATATCTTCTTCACTTCCATCGGAATGTTTAGAACTTTGCACATTGTCTCAAAAAGATCTAAATCTTTTAGACAATCTAATTTCTGCAATTGTTCTCTCGTCGGTGCTTCCTGTCCATTATTTTCTCTCACATGAGCTTCCAGCCATCGTATCGCCATCATAACTCCCACTATCACTATTGTTATGGGCTGTGATGAATCTGGTAAACCCATGGAGAGCAGCTCTCCAGAGTCCCAGATCAACACCAGATTACTACGCTTGGGATACCACCAGGTCTGCAGCAAGCAGTGGCAAGGAAACTCATCATGCGTCAACATGATGCTCCTCCAATTACGTTTTCCCGAAGCTTCCAGCAATGGTTCCACTTCCATCATCACTCGGTGGATTTCATCATTCTCATCTACTGCATTGTAATCTGTGACAGTTGATCCTCTCTGTTTCTGTTTTTCAAAGTCACTGAAGTTCCCGCTCACATATCCCATGAATTTCTTTCCTAGTATTGACTCCAACTCTTCTTTGGTTCTTTCTGGAACTGCTGAGAAAATCTTACACAGTAACTCGTAAGACTTTTCAGACATTCTTGCCAACCTCACGCACTTCGGCACTGAAAAAGCTTGATCCACGATCGTTCTTGTGCTCTTCACGTCCACAGCCACGAAATGTACAGGGTATCTGCTCTTGCACATTGGAGCCAACGTTGAACCCACCAAATATCGTGCTCCTGATGGTCTACAATAAGTTTCGCTGTGTCTGATGTTCATCTCCGTTTCGATTGCTTCCCTCCATTTTCCTATATACTTCTGCTCAGTCTGCAGAACTCCTGGGAATACCTCTACGCTGATGGCTGTGACCATCTCATGTTTCTGTTCTAGATTCAATAGTGACTCTAAAGAACCAAACATGCTGTAGAATCCTAGTGCTGTCACTAGATTCACATCGGTTCCTCCATGGCAATCTGCTATCAGTTCCGTTTCCGTTCTTGCTTTCATCACTACATTTCCAAACAATACCGTCAACTGCTTGTGTTGTTTCTCCAGGGTTTTCACACAGTCTAGACTTCCACAAACGTGACCCTCTAGTCCACAGACTTCCGCCAGACAGCTACCAGGTTTGACCCAGTCTTCTGGTCCCCAGCCAGGCAACTCCACTCTATCTTCTCCGTTGCTCTTAGAGGCTGTTATCATCACATTATATATGATGTTGAGGTCACGCAGGTTACAGTCCACATTCAGTTCCCTCTGTACGTCCTGTGTCGCCCGTAATATTGAGTCAGCGTTGGGACTAGGACACCACGATGGCTTCATCAATTCCCACACTGCCATCAAGCTCGTTCTCAGTAATTCATCTGAGAACCCCAACCCAAATTCCACTCTCTTGTCGGATTTTGGCACTGAAGGTGCAGTCACCTCTTCTTCCAAGACCAATCCCAATTTGGCCTGTGGATTGTTAACGCTCTTAGTCGTCACAATTCTGGACGTCCAGAATCTTAGTAACACCGCCTGCTCATAATCAAAGAAGCAATCACGTATGTCTTCACTCAGGAAAGGATTGT